TGTGTACAACATTCTCCTGGTTCTGCTCACTTCACTCAGCATCTGTCCATACAAGTCTTTCCAAGTTTTTCTGAAGTCTGCCTGCTCATCATTTCTTATAGCACAGTAGTATTCCATGAGTGCAGTTCTTTGCTGGGCTCCGGGGATTGGTGCTTTTCTAGAATCCAAAGCTGTTACTTCTCTGAAGTGGGAAGGGTCACAATCCCTGAATAAATCTGTTGATGTCCTCCAGTAATTGATCTTTCCACATTCATCTTTAGGGACTTCTTTGGTAGTTGACTCCTACCATGCTGGTGGACTCTGCTACTGCCTGGTTGGCATTGAGACCTTGGATGGTTTTGATGGATCTCCCAAACTCCCCAGTAGCCTGTTCACTCCCAAGTCAGGTTACATACTCACCAAAAATCAGGAAAGAAGAAGCACAAAAGAAATAGAGGCACCATTGGCTGGGGGTGGGGAAGGGAGGAGAAGTGGTCAGGGAATGACCAGCTCCCCCCCCCCCAGCAGTGCTGAGCAATCTTCTTCCCTCAAAAGCTGCAAGGGAAGATAGAGAGAGATGATCAGTCCTAACTTCTTGTATGCACATTCATATCTAGCTCAACCTCTCCTGAATCATTAATCCCTTTGGCTTGGAAGCCAATTAGGAAGTTCTTTATCATTGCATAGTATTAACTCTTAGTCATCATGGCCAAAAGAGATTTGGAAGTTCCACATGTTGGACTAGCAGCAAGCAGAGAATACTCATGCTCTTATACTCATGCTCTTATATAATCTAACAGGAAGGGCAAATCTGAGTATGCTCCAAGATCTGGGCCTTCATTGACCATTCCCATTCTACATCTATCATTCAAAAACAAGAGTGGTAAAGAGGATTGGTTCAATAACAAAATGTTCACCTGTGCTGATAGTATACTCTTTGGTGGAAGTTTTTAAACTTTTAATTGCATTTCCATTTGGTACAGCCAGCTCCCTGGATATCACATATAACCTTCACTGCTTCCATCCTCATCTCTAGCTGGCAACATACAACTTGGAGCTGGTCAGAATAGAAGTCAGTGGAATGGGCAGATGAAAGCTGTTTTCTCTTCGTATTTCTCTATCATGAGCATCTGATTACAACCACTTCACAGATCCAGCCTTTAAAATCGATGATTGCCTAGCAGACAATACAATGCATCTTGATTTTGTGGCATTGGTCAGCCTTAGTTCTCTTGTGAAAGAGAACTAAAGGGAACTTGTTCTGGGAGTTTACATATGTTCAGTTCTTCCTTGTCTTTTTCTGTACTGCCACTAGAAGCAATCGATCCATAGGCACTGCTGGACTCTATGACGATACCATTTTCCAACAATTCTTTCAAATAGTTTCTGAGATCTTCCCTCAGAGACAAATTTTCTGGATTCATTCTCAGAAAGGTCAGGAGACAATGAGATAGGGTCTATGAGATGCTCCTTGGATGGCTCCTATATCCCTCTCTAGCAGCGAGAACATGCCTGGCCTGCTTGGGCTTCTGCCTCAATGGATTCTTCCATTCTGGGGCATGGGAGAGTCATCCAAGTCTAATTCCTCTGGCTCCACTTCTGAGTTAGAGGAACCAGTGTCCCTGAGATGTCATCTGCCACCATTTCCTTCTATGCCCTTGTAAGTTTCTGCATAGGGTACCTAGATGGTCAAGGTCTTCTGGGATTGAGCCCCACTTTAACATTAAATAGGCAAGAGTTGGTCCTAGTCAATATCAAAACTCCAGAGACATTTTCCAAATCTGCCTACACCAGGGCCAAGGTATCAACCTTCTTGTCGTCATTGATAGCTTCCTTAACAAATTTCAGACTTACTTTGCTATAGCTCAAATGGGGATGGTCCTTATCATTTAGTCCAGATGCCAAGCTCTTTTTCATGGGATATAAAGTTATTTATTGAGTGTCTCAGAAAATTACTGGAATACAATGGTCATACATTGTATAAATATGAATTACATTGTATGAAGCATCTTTTTTTATGACTAGTTTGTTAGCCAGAATCTATCATGGGACAAGTCATTATCTTGCCATTGTCCTTTTACATTTGTTCTATGAACTCTTGCAAGGTAGGACAAAATCCTCACTTCTTGTAGTTTAAAAATAGAGTTAAGATATAGGTTCACCCTCTCTACATTTAATAAAAACATCTTTGATACTACCCCAATGGCAGACAAGAGGGATGATGTACATTTGCATGGTTTCCACATGATTTTGATAGCCTCTGCTAGGTTTCTTTATTTTGGAAACTTTCTGTTTCATGTAGCTTGGAAAGTGTGACTATTTAGGACGGCAGCATCTACGTATTTAAAACAATGTTCTTAAATTTTTATGGACAAATGTTATATTTGGGCAACTGTAGGTAACACATTGGTCTGTTATAATGGTATGGTTCCCATATAATTTATTGGTTGAGTTCTCTAATCTATTACAAGTTCTGCATTTGCTATTATTATCCCCATTTTATAGATGAAGAAACTGAGCCAGACAGAGGTTAAATAACTTGCCCAGGGTCATACAGCCAGTGAAGTGTCTGAGGCCTATTTGAATGACTTTATATATGTTGTCTGAATGGAAGACAACGGGATCCGGGGTCCAGTATAGACTGGCACTCCGCGTGTTTCACCTACACAGTCACTTCTTCACGAGGTCCTATGAATCCAGATGAAATGAACTCATATACAACGGGGAGTGAGGCTAGTACTTTCTTGAGGTCTGAGATGACCTCTGTCCCTGGCCCAGGCCTTATTTTATGAAGCTGGTTTTATTCTATTCAGGTTCTGATAAAGAAGCACCTGATTTTCTTCCTGAGTACATTCAGTACATGAATAGTCACCTAGTTCTCATCTGCCTCTTTGACTGAACTCTGTTAGTAAAGTTATTACCCTTTGACCTTGAGTCTGATGAGTTGCTCAGCTGGGCTGCAAGGATTGTGTGTGTTGTTTTTTCCCCTCAAGTCTGTAACCAGTACTTCTCATGAGAGGTCATGATTCTTGAAGTCATTGCCTTTCTCCAGTGACTGTCTCTCCATATCTGGCTGTACTTGGCACAGAGCGATATAGAGAAAGACAGACACACAGAGACAGAGAGAAACAGAGAAACAGAGAGACTAATAATAATCATTCGTTTGCTGTTGTGCAATTGTGTCTGACTCTTTGTGACCCGATTTGGAGTTTTCTTGGTAAAGATACTGGAGTGGTTTGTCATTTCCTTCTCCAGCTCATTTTACAAATAAACAGAGTTAAGTGACTTACCCAGGATAACACAGCTAGTAAGTATCTGAGCTAGTAAGTATTGAACTCACGAAAATGAGCCTTCCTGACTCCAGGCCTGGCACTCTATCAACTTCACCAACTAGCTGCCGCAGTAACAATAATTAATCAAGAACATTCAATTATTAGTTATTAATTCATTTAATGATAATTAAGCAATCAATAATAATAGCTGCCATTTCTATAGTGCCTACTATGCCAGACACTGTGCAAAGAACTCTACAAACATCTCATTTTATCCTCACAACCTCTGGAAGGTAGGTGCTATTATTATTTCCACTTTATAGATGAGGAAACTGAAGCAAAGAGTCACACAGTCAGTTATCTGCCTGAGGCTAGATTCCTGACTCTAGGTATGGGGCTCTACCCACTGTGACACCTAGCCACAGAGAGAGAGAGAGAGAGAGAGAGAGAGAGAGAGAGAGAGAGAGAGAGAGAGACAGAGAGACAGAGAGACAGAGAGAGAGACAGAGACAGAGACAGAGACAGAGACAGAGACAGAGACAGAGACAGACAGAGACAGACAGAGACAGAGACACAAAGAGAGAGACACAGAGAGAGAGACACACACACACACACACACACACAGAGGCGGGCAGACACATGGGACAATATGCACGCGGTAGTAACCCACACAAACACATGTGACAATGATACCAGTGATAATAAATACCCATATAGTACTTTCCTTGAAATATCAGCTCTTACTAGTACTCCCAGAGGTAAAAATCCAGCCAAAGGGTTTGAATTACCAGGATGCAGTCACTGAGTTAGCCACCAGATGGTGATCTACTCAAGATACCAGCCAAAACTCAGTCAATTCTTAAGCAAGCACAGGTAGATAGATGATGCCTACCTGGATCTTGGCACATGAACACTTCCAGCCTCTGAATGAACCTTTTTGTCTCAGAAGGGGCATTTTAACCCTTTACTGTATGGAGCCCCAATCTAGCTTGAAGGGCTATCGTGGGAAAGAAGGATTCAACTTACTTTGTTTGACTCCAGAGCCCATACGGAGGAGCAGTGGTTTGGAAGGTGCAAAAAGGCAAATTGAAGCTTGATGTTGGGGAAGACTTCCTAACATTTCAAGAGCTCCAGAAGTGGAGTGGGCTGCATCAGAGAGACCTCCACTTCATTGGAGAGACCACTTCATTGGAGGTCTTCAAACAAAGACTGGATGATACCTTGTTGGCATACTCAGGGGTGGGGAGGAGTTCTTTTTCAGGTATGGATTGGACTAGAGGGCTACCAAGATCTCTTTAAGTCTGGAAGTCTATTAAATTCTGTGATATTTCTATTACCCAAACCCAGTAAGAGTTCACTCTCTTTCATCAAGGCATCCTTTCCTGATCCCCACATTATTAATGTTCAGCCCACAAAATTCCTTTGTGCACATTTGTATTTACTTACCTATGTGTATGTTGTCTCTGTTCCCCACCACCCAAAGTAAAAGGCAAGCTCTTTGAGGGAAGGAAATAAACCTTCGGGCCTCCACTGTCACATACAGTTCTATTTTCAGCAGTCTCACCAGGTTTTCTTTTACATTTTAAATATTCCAGATTGAATGCCTAGGGGCTTATTGTTCAATGCACTTTTAGAGTTAGACTAGCCAGATCTGGATAAATGATATTTTCTCTAAGAGGCAGACTATCTGGACCCCTTGCTCAGGTATTATTTTTCATATTCATTGTTCTTTCTTTTTTTTTTGCCTAGGCAATGGGGTTAAGTGACTTGCCCAGGGTCACACAACTAGTAAGTATTATGTGTCTGAGACCGCATTTGAAGTCAGTTCTATCCACTGGGTCACCTAGCTGCCCCTCATTGTTCTTTCTCAGAGCTCTGTGGAGCTGGCGGAGTTCCTAAAGAGGAAATACTGTAAGATTTTTACTTTTTATAGTAATGGACTCAAAATACAGAATGTGACAAATAATTTTGGACGTAAACAATGCAGGAATTAGTTTTGCTCAACTATGCATATTTGCTACAAGGGTTTTCTTTTCCTTTATTTGAGGCAAAATGAAAGGGCAGCTAGGGAAGGGTAGGGAAAAAAAGAAATTTAGAAAAAGGAAGGAAAAGAGGGTCATTGAAGCTTTTGAAGCAAGAGAATCTGAGTTTGTAACTATCAATAGGAGAATGGCTGGACAAGTTATGATAGTTATGGTATATAAAGGTAATGGAATACTATTGTGCATGTAACTGCTGCTTGCTAATGAACTTGTTTTTCACTCAGTACATAGCATAGGGGGCAGGACTGCTCCTCACCTTGGAACACTACTCTCCTAGTCAGACAGCCCTGTATGTGTGACCCGGAACTTGGTGGTTAGCAATCGAACTTCCAGTTTGTACCTCTTCCAGCCCCTTTCAAACGTTTAAGCCCCTCTGTGCTGGATCTGGCATTTCTTGACCCTGTACTAGAATGGCTCTGTAGCCCTTCTCTGGCTAAACCTTGTCCTTAGTGTCTGCAGACATATACTCACTGTGATTTTTTTTATTGGATTTCCCAATCAGGATTCAGTCTGGTACATTTTCTAGATCTGTTTAGAGAAGTTGGAGATTGGAAGAAGCTCATTGTACTTCTTCCTACTTTACCGCCCTCTTGGCTCCATCCCCCTGCTGCTTATTATAAGTTGTCTATAAGCAGCATTACTATAGGAGAGGCTAGTCCCCTGCAGAGCTATTGACAAAAGCTGTTAACCTTTCTATTCTCACACCTTAAAAGTGCTTGTGCTAACAGGATAAATCAATCTAAAACCCATCTTCACTTCTCCAGAATAGAGAAGTGAGAAATAGGCATGATTACTTATTGAAGCATTTTCCCCCTCAAAATACAGGGAAGAAGAAGAAGGCCAAAAGAAATCACAAATGGGACAGCTTTGAAAGTTACATGTTGAATTTATTAAATGTTTTAAAAGAAAAACAAGGTATACATAATAAAAATTCCCTGTTTCCTATATAATCTTCTTTTTCTGTTCTACTATGTATGTGGAAATGGCCATTTCATCTGGTTAAGTTCAGGAAAAAAGTACATGAAAAAACAATAAATAACCCTTCACCTCCCTCTCCGTAAGGGTCTCTGGGTGTGGGCCATTGACTATTTACACTGTTTATACTTCACAATGTGGTTTTCTGAGACTGGGGATCAACATAACCCTTTTTTTGTTGGTATTTTCAATTCCCATCATAGGAGTCTCTCACCCCAGCATCAAGTTGGCATTCGTCATCAGCCTCAGCACATTCTGAGCCTTTTCTTTCTTTCTTTTTTTCTTTGTAAGAGATCTCCACAAAGGCAGCTAAATAGGTTGGGGTTTTTGTTGTTTGTTTGTTTTTAACACTACTGTCATCTTCCTTTAACTTTATTTCCCTCCCCCTTCTCCTCCCACCCCTGGGGTTCTGGATTTTAGATGGAAGGGCTCTTGTAGGTTGGCGCTGGCATCAGGCACAAATAATTGTACCACTTCCATAGTAAAAAATTCTGAAATCCCCCTATCTGACCATAATTTATTGGCTTTTCACCTCACCCTCTGCATTTCCTTACATAACTCTACTCTTCATCCACACCATGTTCTCCAGTGTGTTGGCCCTTCAAGTCTTTCCCAGGCCATCTCCTTTGCATCAGCCATTCTCTCTTCTTCTCCCCATCTTGACTCCTAAGTGACCCAATTTAACTAACACTCTCCTCTTCTCTGGAATCCCTAGCCTCTTATCATATTGATAGTTAACGTCCAGCCAAACCTCAGCCTTGGATCACTCCTACCATTTGTTGCCTTCAAGCCTATATATGTACTGCTGAATGAAGTTAGAGAAAATAACTCAGTCTTTCTCACTGGATCCACTACAAATTGATGGTACCTAACTTCAACTGAGCTCTCACTGCTGCTAGGCAATCCTACACTACCTGCCTTATTAACTCAGTATCTCATTCTCCACAGTGGCTCTTCCAAACCTTTTCATCTCTCCTCAAACCTCTCATGACTCCCCTCCTCTTCAAGCCTCTCAGCGGGGAAGCTGGCCTCATATTTTACAGAAAAAAATTAAGGCCATTTGCTGTGAGTTCCATCTTCCATCTTTCTCATCTCACTATAACTCAGATACCTTCTGCCACTTTTCCTTCTTCACCCCTCTCTCACGTGATGAAGTGGCCTTACTCCTTACCAAGGCTAACCCCTCTCCTTGTTCAAGAGATCCCATTCCCTCCCATCTCCTCCAACAGATCGCTGGCTCTTCCCCACTCTTCCACTTATTTTCAATCTCTCCCTGTCTACTGGCTGTTTCCCTACTGCCTACAAACATGCCCATGTCACCCCTCACTTGATCCTTCCATCTCTGCTATTCGTCCTGTATGTTTTCTGCCCTCTGTACCTAAACTCCTCAAAAAGGCCATCTACAATAGATGCCTCCACTTTCTATCTTCTTGCTCACTTTTTAACTCCTTATAATCTGACTTCCTACCTTCTCATTTCACTGAAATTGCTCTCTCCAAAGCTACCAATGACCTTCTAATTGCCACATCCAATCAATGGCCTTTTCTCAGTCCCCATTTTCCCCAACCTCTCTGCAGCCTTTGACACTGTTGGTCACTCTTTCCTCCATCATATACTCTTCTCTCTAGGTTTTTGGGGCCCCACTCTCTCCTGGTTCTCCTCCAACCTGACTGCTTCTTCCCTGTCTCTTTTGCTGGATCCTCTTCCAGATCATGCTGTCTAACTATAAGTGTCCCTCAGGGTTCTGTTCTGGGTCCTTTTCTCTTCTCCCTCTATACTTCTTCACTTGGTGATCTCATCAGCTCCCATGGTTTTAATTACCATCTCTCTGCTGATGATTCTCAAATCTACCTATCCTACCCCAACTTCTCTACTGACCTCCAATCTCACATCCCCAACTGCCTTTCAGACATCTCGAACTGTATATCCAGGAGACATCTTAAACTCAGTTTGCAGAAAACAGAACTCATTATCTTTCCCTTAAACCTTCCCTATTACTATGGAGGGCAACACCATCCTCCAAGTCCTTCAGGCTTGCAATCTAGGGGTCATCTTGGACTCCTTATAGTCTTTCACCCCCTACATCCAATCTGTTGCCAAGGCCTGATGATTTCACCTTTACAACATTTCTTGAATATGCCCCCTTCTCTCCTCTGACACTGCTACACCTCTGGTACAAGACCTCTTCACAGCTAGATTATTGCAATAACCTGCTCATACGTCTGCCTGCCTCAAGTCTCTCTCCACTCTTACCCATACTCCATTCAGACACTCAAGTGATTTTCCTAAAATTCAGGTCTGATCATGTCACCACTGCCCCCTACTCAGTAAAGTCCAGTGGCTTCCTATTGCCTCCAGCAGCAAATACAAAATACTCTGACATTCAAAGTCTTTCATAATCCCCTTTCCTGCCTTTCTAGTCTTCTTAGACCTCACCTCCCAGCCACATACTCTTTAGTCCAGTGACATTGGCCTCCTGGCTGTTCTATGAACAAGCCGTTTCATCTCTTGGCACCCTGGCTTTCTTTCTGTCTGTCCCCCATGCCTGGAATGTTTTCCCTCCTCCTCTCTAACTACTGATCTCCCTGGCTTCCTTCAAGTCCCAATAAAATCTCGCCTTCTACTGGAAGCCTTTCCTAACCCTTCTTAATTCCAGCATTTCCCTCTTTTAATTATTTCCTATTTATCCTATATTTGGTTTGCTTTGTATACATTTGTTTACTTGTTTTCTCCCCCATTGGATTGTAAGCTCTTTGAGGGAAGGGACTGTTTTGCCTCTTGCATTTATCACAGTACCTGGCACATGGCAGTCACTTAATAAATGTTTGCTGAATTGAATTGAATTGGAAATTCCACTCCAACCTCTTCATTTTACAGGTGAGAAAACTGAGGCTTAGAAAGGTTAAATGACTTGTCCAATATTACAAAGGTGACTGTGGCAAGTCAGGATTCAAACTTGGGTCCTCTAACTCCAAATTCAGTACTCTTTTCCATTGAAACTTCTCTCATAACAATAAAAAGCCCTCCAAAATATTTAAACAAAACCAATCAACCAACAAAAGTCTGGATCTAACAGGGTATATCACATTGCCCCTCCATAGTCCTATCAGTTTGCTAAGAGGAGGAGATATGCTTCATTATAGCTTCTCTTGAACCAAAATTGTTCATTGAAATTAATCTGCGGGCAGCTAGGTGGTGCAGTGGATAGAGCACTGGCCCTAGAATCAGGAAGACCTGAGTTCAAATCTGGCTTCAGACACATAACACTCACTAGCTGTTTGACTGAGGACAAGTCACTTAACCCCAACTGCCCAACAAATAAAAGAAAAAGAAAGAAAAAGAAACACCAAGTTCTTTAAAAAAAAAAAAGGCAGGGGCGGCTCGGTGGCACAGTGGATAGAGCACCGGCCCTGAAGTCAGGAGGACCTGAGTTCAAATCCGGCCTCAGACCAAACACTTGATACTTACTAGCTGTGTGACCCTGGGCAAGTCACTTAACTCCAAATGCCTAAAAAAAAAAAAGGCAATTAATCTGAGTTCAGCTGCTACTTTATGTTTCAATTTATATTATTCTAGTCATTATGTATAGGTTCTTCTTGGTTCTACTTTCTCTGTTCTTTGTAATTTTGAACAAATCTTTCCACGTTTCTTTGAATTCCTCCTATTCATCATTTCTTATAATACAATAATATTCCATTACACTTACATTTGAGATTTTCCTTGTGGATTAATTCTCCTTTTCTAGGTTTGTGTCTTCGGCATCCTTGGCATCATGATAGCTCTTTACACATTCTGTGATCCCAGGACACTGGCTTTCTTGCCGGTCCTTATGGAAGACACTCCATCTTCCTACTCCAGGCATACTCTGTGGCTGTTTCCCACACCTGGAATGCTCCTCTTCCTCACCTCCACTTCCTGGTTTCCTAGGCTTCCTTTGTGACCCAGCTAACATCCCACCTTCTACCATAAACCTTTTCCATTCCCCCTTAATTCTAGTGCCTTCCTTCTGTTGCTAATCTCTAATTTATCTTGTATATAGTGTGTGTGTGTGCACAGTTGTTTTCATATTGTTGCTCCCATTAGACTATGAACTCTGTAAGAGCAGGGACAGTATTTTGCATTTCTTTTTATCCCCACTGACTGACTGGCTGAATCTTTATTATTATTATTATTTTTTTTTGGTTACTTATTCTTCCAGAAATCTGTCCTAGGCAACAGATTTGTGTTGTTGGCCTAGCTAAGAGGGCCTTCCTTCCACCCTAAATCCCAAGTGCCTGGAGGGTAATGCCTTTGCAATTCTTCCACTCAGCATCCTTGCCTGACAGTACTGTTAGGATGTTCACTGTTCAGTAAACCTTCAAGCATGTCAGCTATTATAATTCTCTTCCCTCCAGGCTCAGGTGGCATTACTGGCATCATTTCGAGGAAGAATTTCCTTATTTACCTAGTTCAGTTCTCTCTCCTTACTTCAGTCACATCGTATTGACTTATTTGTACACATAGTATACACTTCCTGGCCATGTCCTCACTCTGCCCTTGCTCTGGAGTCATCATTGGACATCTCTCTCCCAGTGGAACCTTGGACACTCCTGGGTCCCCCTTTTCCAGTACTCCTTTATATACTGCCTTCCTCCATTAAAATATAAGATCTTTGAGAGTGGGGACTGTCTTGCCTGCTGGTGTTTCTATCCCTAGTCATCAGCTCAGTGGCAGACGCATAGCAAATGCTTGATAAATGCTCTATCTCCCTTATGTTGTATATGCCCCAGGAGAATGTATGTTCCTTGAAGGCAGGGGCTGATTTTTCTTTGCCTTTGTATTCCTGAGCTAGCACAAGGCTTTGTACATTGCTGTTCCTTAATAAGTGTATTAGCTTCAATTGCTCTCA